GGGAGATACTCAGAAGCCACTGAAGTAAGAAAATAATTCCCATGATTTGAGCATGTTTTGGCAAAATTAAAAAAATGTATGCATTAAACTTCTTAAAATTTTCCCAAGCTAGAGTTCAGCAATTAAAAAAAAAAGAAAATAAATAAAAATAGGGTGCTTGATCACTTACTTCCTGCATTTGCTGTAAGTGGGTTTTCTCTAAGAGAAACAGCATGAGAACTGGCACCTGGAGCCACAGTGAACGAGCAGGATGCCACAGTATGACATGCTAATAATTCAAGAACATACGCTGTCATTTTTCATGCTTATCTTCAAAGAAGAATCCTCTATCAGATCTTCTGTTTTTCTGTTTTGACCTCTATGTGGCAAACTCAGGAAGATTTGGAGGAGCTGGAAATGAAGCTGAGTTTTGTGAACCAGCACTTAAATGCTTGGTGGTTAATGTGCTCAGTGTCCACTTGCAGAGCCATTCTGGCCCATACATTGCAAACAGTCTACTTCTATAACATCCGAAATTTATGATTCAACTTAAGTTCAGCTAGTAAACTTTTTTCAAAGCAGACATGCTAAGGACTTAAAGATTTTTAGACTGCTCTTTAAAAGCCTATGAAATACCAGAATGAGTTAGCTCCATATTTTAATCTCTTACTGGCACACGAAGAAATCTGAATTCCATTTTATGGCAACATTTTTCTTTAATCTGAAGAATTTGCCTATTTTTTAAATGATTATGATGTCTTATTCTTTCATTTAAGGAAGAAACAGATCCAAAAAGCCTAGTGTCCCTTGGTGTCCTTACCCTCTTCTGAAAATTTCTGTATGTGGCAGCTGAGAGGCAACACAGCACGTTTTGATATAGACTGGGGATTTGTGCCACTGAAAGATGGCACCGTAGTGCCAAGCATGATCTCATCTCTTCTGTCACACACCAATCGACATTACTGATATTTTATATATCCTCAGTGTCTCAAGTGAAGGCGATATGTTCATGAACGTAATAAAAATAAAGAGCATTCATCCTATATAGACTTTCCCTGAAAGAGTTGGGATGAAGGAGAGTAAAGAGAATTCTCTCTCGCTTACCAATCTGAACCATCTGAGCAATGTAATTTCTAGCCACAACACCTAATACAGCCTTGTTTAATATACAGTCCTTTCTATTATGTTTCATGCTGTACCATCCCTAATAGACCATTAAGTCATGCCAGGCTGATTTATGTTGGGAAAACTTCCCAGATCGGAATGAAATGCATCACAGAGTCACACTGCACTTAAATATGAATAGACTATATTTAATTAATGAGAAATTTGGAAAATTCCTAGCAGGTGTCTTATCTGTTTGTCTCTTCTCCAACATGGTAGGGAAGTTAAGATTTTGTAACTTGGTCTCCCTTTACTTCCTTAGTTAATTCCAAATACTTGATTTTTATCCAGGTGGCAAAACTGTCCAACTTTTTCCTGCAAGTCACTTCTTTCTGGGAAGATGAGTTATAGCATATGGCAACAAACTGAGGAAACTTGTTTTACTGCAAAGCAACTGAAACGCAAAGAACTGACTTTTCACTTGGACTTAGTTGAAATCAATTTGCAAACTGAGTAGCACTCTCTCATCTGAATGATTTTTTGAATGATTATTAAAAAAGTAACTGAGACATCAGACAGATCTTCATAGATCTTCTATTTGAAGGTCTTCTGTCTCAAAGCAGTATGTAACTGCTTCTAAAATGAGTGTCATTGTCAATGGGAATATATGAAACTTTTGGGCTCTTCCCAACTATTGTGCTTCTTTTAGCAGTTATTCTCCTGCCCAGCTGCCATAAGAAATACAGCAGAACGCAAAAGCGAGAAAATTCATCTGGAAAAATCCATCTAATGAGTGAAATAACTCCAGAAAAAGATCTAAATAGGGATAATATCTTATTTCCTAAACCCATCTGTTGCGAATCCTGTCAGAAATCTTTTCAAAAGGTTATAAATAAGAGAACATCTATTTTAGAAACGGGCAATGCATTTATTCCTAGCAGTGAATTCAACCATGATGAATAATCTGGCATAGAGCTGTTAAATTCACCAGCTGCCATCCACCTCAGGCAGAACCATACCTCATTTTATCTATGTATTATATACCATTTGTTAATAGCTACTTGAACCAAAGATGGCCACTGGCAACCCCACTCCTGAATTTTCACTCAAGCTGAAATTTAAATAAAAATATCAGAATAGAAATATTTGAAACAGACAAAAACTCACCAGAAAATAAAAATTATTCCATTCGCAACAAGGATTACAGTCCTGGAACATTAAGAATGTATTTCTCTATTCTTCAGTGACAAGACATTGGAAAAAAAAGAATTGTTTGGTCTTGTTTAAAGCACAGTAAAGACAAAACATGTCTGCTTTGAATTAGAGACAGCGATGAAAGGTAGAAGTACCTAGATAATTCTCTAGTGTCACAAAAGAATATAAACTTTTAAATGGCTCCCCTACACTTTAACATATACATAAATATATAAATATACTTCTGTTAAAATGTCAATCTCCTAGAGAGCTGTGAGCTTAATAACATTAAGTAGTGTTTGCTTTAGCTTCCTTTCGGCAAGGAGAGGTATTTTTGCTCTGCCTTCCAGTTAACTTCCTGAATAAAAAAATGCTACAAATGCTATTTGACTCACCATTCTTGTTAAATGACAACTTTAATATAGGGTCACTTGGGTTTCTTGGTGGAGAGGGAAGCTACTTTGGTTTGCTTTACCAGGCTTTAAATTTTAAAAAAAAACCCAACAGGTTAGGTAGCTGCCTGCTTTGCCTATTCTTGAGTGGAACAGAGCTACGAACTGTAGAAATCAGCTTGATTTCAGGTACTTAAGCACAAAAGTCAATAAAGGTAGACACTATCATTGTCTGCAGGTACAGGATCTCATAAAAGTGATTGACAGACAATGATCTGCTTCTGCACAGCAATCACGACATACACACTTGTATGGGAGTCATATATACGTCAAATATCTTTGGGGTTGGACTTAGTTACTCAACAATCTTTTCACAAGTCACAAAGAGAATTTTGAAATTAAATAATTTGATAAAGACCATGTGCCCATGCGATAATTATTTTCAGATCAACTACTCTAATTTTAGTTTCCTGAATAAATGATGTAAAAGAAGAATGTTCTCTTGCAACAAAATACAATAGCCTAGGCAGGGAATATGTGAAATTGAGCTCAGCATGATCACACAAAAGGATCATATACCTGGACCTAAAGTAAATGGAGACCAAGAGCTGCTGAATAAGCTTTGGAGATGGAATCAGGGATGACTCAATGGCCTGAAAAGCCTTAAAAAAGAATCAGTGCTCTGAAATGAGACACCATCAACACTGCTGAAACCTATCATTTTCTTGCGAATCTCCAGTCATCTGTTTTATGTGGCTTTCACACAGCCTGAAACTGTCTCTACTTTGTGATTTTTTTTTCTTGTCTTTTTTTTTAAGAGTCAGCAAAGCGAGAAAAAATACCTAGAAGTAAAATAGTTTTAATCCTTTGGCATTTCTTAGTGCATGAAGAAGCATCATCCCCTGACATGAAAGATTTACTTTTAAAGCACACTAAATTCATGCTGCGCTTTCTAAGAAATGGAAAATTTTCTTGCAAGTTTACTCCATTTTTACACTGTTACAACTCTTGGGAATTAATTTCTTAAGAACCAGCATAATGCCAAAGTAATACAGTAGTGATTTGGATTTAAAGCTTGCTATCAAAACCCCAGATGGAGAAGAGTGAATTTCTATTCTACACAGGGAATTCTCCAGGCTTGGATAAGCCATGCCATGGCTGTGGAGGTATTTGGCTTGGCTCTATATTTGCTAGTCCAAGGAAGCTAATAAGATGGGATCACCTTAGTTCTGGAAAAAGAGGCCTAACTTGGATTTTATCTTTTAATTATTCTAACCTTTCTTCCTCCAAACTCAGAACAGTGAAGAGCTGAGATGACTTCAAACTCACAAACTTTAGTCAAACACATATCTAGCAAAAGTTTTGACTAAATAAATAAAGACCAACCTGCTCAGCAATCTCCATAAACAGCAGTACCAACTTTTTACACTAATCCAAAAAAATAGGAGTAACTATATTATTTGAAAAGACACATCTAAACACAAACTGCAAAAATCAGAGGAGCAGTGCAACTCATTAAACTAAATCCATATAGGCACAGAGTAACCATCCATGAAAGAAAATTAAATAGTATGTTTCAGGAACACCAAAAGTGAATTTCAGCTACTGACAGTTGCAAAATTTCCATTATGCTTAGCTGTATATTTTGTACATTTTCAGAATTTCAAAGGCATAGGAAAATTTTCAATGTGGGAATAAAAAAATTCAGAGGTTGTCTTCCTCAAGACTTGTTTTTCAAAACAGTCTGCATCCTATACAGTGCATTTCAAACTGCACTCCAAGATGACCCAAAGGCAAAAATCAGTGATGAACTTTCTTAAGAAGCAGGAAAATCTACTCCATCCCCTCTCTGATTTCAGGACCACTTCATTTCAGAGCTCTTTGAAAGACACAAGAAAGACGGGACATGCAAAGCCTGTGCTATTACTGCTGTGCAATAAAAGCAGGATGAGCTGATCGTTTAGGGCCTGGTAGAAGCTCAGCAAAGTCAATACAATCCTTTCTCTTGATTTCAATGGCTTTTATACCAGGCCCATAAACAGACCATTAAAAACATCTAAATGAGTGATTTTTGCTCAGTATCACCACACCCACCCCCGCTTCTCTGATTGGCACTTGCTGGTGATTTGGCAAAATGAGTTTATACACGACACAGCAGAAAATACAAAGTTCAGAAACAGCACTTTGTCAGTCAAAATCACTTGCCTGGTGTTAGACAGTTACGACTATTAAGCGCTGGCTGCTCGTTTCAGCCAGTTAAATGCTGCTGCAAATGAAAGATGAAGCATTGCATGAAGCCATGCTAAAATGGATAGAAGGATGGTTACTTACCAACGGGGCGAGCTGTTGACATTACAATGGTGTAGTGAGAACATAAAAAAGAAATTAAAAAAAGAAAAGAATATCTGTCAGAATGCATGACGTGTAATGTTACCTTCCACTATGGATACTACCATGATTGCTAACCCCTCAAATGACAGCCTGAGTAAAATGTTTACTGTTGTTATCGCTCAGTCTCGTGCCACTATTATCCCATTTACTTGAGCATAGCATCTGAACAAGCTGACTGGAACCATTCTCTGAGAAACATTTTTATTATCTTCACATGCCATCATCAAGTACCATTGTTAATGCCTGATAAAAGAAAAATTGCATTGCATTAGCACAAACTTTTAGATCCCGATGAACACATCAATTTAAGCCGCACACTGCCGAATGTCATGCCAGTAGATGCAAAGCCTTTGCTTTCTGAGTCAAACACCAATTGAATTTTAAGCATGACCAGTCTGTACAGCAGTAAGGGCTACAGAAAGCCCAGGACAGTTTTTCTCACTCAATAAGGACATGAAAGCTTACAGCAGAGTTGTTTTTTCTCCTCACTGACACTGCTGATGAAAATATAACAAATAGGCTGAAATGGCCGCAGGGACTTCAACCCAGAACCTCCCAAATCACTCCTTAGGTAACCTCTATTTCCTAAAAAAATTGCTGCTAAATGATCGACAGGTTAATACTGTTTCAGGTTGATATCAAGATTGAAAGTCGCTGATGCAACAAGTGATTTCTTGATTATAGCGACAGCCCTTCATTATACTTGTGCTGGGGAAGAGGGTTGCCCGTCCCCCTGTTAATAAAATATAGACATCCCTTTCAGAAGAGCTGAAAAGTGGTACAAAAATTGACTCCAGGTTGCATCTGTGTAGGCAAAGCTTCCCTTGTTTCAGCAGCAGAAATAGTTACACATTGCTGAGCAACAGTACAATTTTTTTCTTTTTTTTTTCTCTTTTTAAGAAGATTACAAAGTCTGTGTGCTTATGTGCAGGCTAGGGTCAAACATAAGACATGCAGATTCAGAGGTAACAGAGCATGTAAGGACCTTCTTAGTTCTCAATCTTTCCATGGTTCTATCCCTGCTTTGGGATACCCACTTCATTTAACCGTTTCGAGCCTGCTGCCCTTTCGCACCCGTCATCTATTGGAACCCTTTTTGGCTTTTAGAATTATGAAAATATTCCCTCTTCTGCAGAAAGACGAGGTGTAAGTGATTTGCATCTTTCCAAGAGAGGGCATGAAGTCTGAGTCACAGAACTCAGACTCTGGTGTTGTTTGTGACAGTGTAATTCAGCCTTCTTGAGTGGGAGCTGAGGACTGCACTGCTGTCAGGTTGCCATATGCAACCACTTGGCACCTGCAAGGACCAAGGCACCCTTAAGGTAAATTTTGAAATGCTAAGTGGTTTTGCTCCTCTACATGACAAGTGGTTACAGTAAAGCTAGTGTCAGATAAAACTGTTAAAAGTTGAAGAATTCAGAATTAAGACTTTTTTTAATTAAAAAGACCATTGCTCATGGTCCCTTTAAAGTCAATGAGAGTTTTCCTAGTCCTTTGTTTTCAGAAAATTCGGAGTAACAGACTTCTCTGGTGAATTTCTTCACTTTTCTCATTTTCTGTCATATCCTGAACATTTAATAAGCTTATAATATCATGGCTTCCTTAGAGTTGGATAAACGTTATGTATTTGACCGTAAATGACAAACCTAGGGGGAAAAATACACAAGACAATAAAAATCTGCTTTTATGTGGGAAAATCAATTAAATTATGTATTTCCTCGAGTTTTTTTCTGTTGTTTCACTTTTCATTGTGTTCAAGCTTGGGTGATTTCAAAGGATTTTTTGTCTTCGTTCTAACTATTGTTTATATCACAAGTCTGGGTAGCAAATCTGAAAGGCTTGCTCCAATAATGTACACAGTGGACACAGTTCCAGGAGTGTTTAAAGGCTTGTGCATTGGTTACCAGATTTATGGGATACTGTGATCCTGCCTGTGACAAAGGAACAGAGTGAGACTGTTTCTGGGAGTTCGCTGTGGTGACTGTTTTCCTCATGTCACAATACAGAAGAACAATCTCTTACATAAGCATGTAGCAGGTAAACCTATTTCTTCAGCTTAAAATGGGAAGAGCTGCATTGTCACTATGGTCTAAAGCAAACACTGAGATAGTATTTCAGCAGATGGATTATCACAATGCTCTCTTTTCTTTGTTACATACTAAGATCTCTCCCCTTCAAAGCCACTCGGTGCCTTTTTTTTTTTTTGTCCCTTTGAATTCAGCAAATTAAACTGAACTGTGTCCATGCATTAAATGGATGGAAATGGAAGCTGGCCTCTTGGGTCAGTTGACCCCAGTTCTAATAAAGCAATCCATTGAGACTTTGAACATTTGATTTAATGTGTATGAAAAGAGGAGGACAGATAAAGCTAAAAATGTTTTTATTAACCTTTCACAGCTCTACTGAAAACCGTCAGCATGCACCACTAAACTGTGAAATAGTGTCTGCATGATATCCATTGTGCCAAATTGCTGCTTATCTTTTGGAATGTAGTAATGACTATTATATTCTGTTTACTCATATGGAAATATTAGCCTACAAACTTTTTCTCTCCCCTTAATCTTTAGCATGTCTATATCTACTGTCACAAAAGATATTTTGTCAACTCATTATTCTACCAGCCTTAAAGCCTCCTTGCAAAATCAAACAGCAGCTCATAAACAAGAGTGGGTACTATAGACCACAAATATTTTAGGAGAGAATATGTTAGTCTTTACCTTGCAATACTTATAAAATTTAATTAGGATTTTCTCTTTCCTTTGGCTATGGTTTATCTTGCAGATAAAGGGTAATGGTAGAGATTTTAATTATAGCAGAGCTAATCACATAATAATATTATCTGCATTATGTTTGTCATTGATATAGTTACAATACTCCTTGTACCTCTTAGAGAAAGAAGCATAAATAATGGCCTGAACTGATGGCTCACATATGCCCACAGTTATGTAGTGTTTGCTTATTCATATATATGTATAAATTCTTCAATAAAAACACAGTTCTTTAACTGCAGGGAGATCCTATCCTATTGAAGTCAATTAAAATTTTGCCTGAAATATCACCAGGACCAGGATTTCACCAGTGATGTAAATCACTGCTGTGCACCCACAACTGCCCAAGGGTATGTGAAACCCAAACAATGCCAGGGGAGGATGTGGCCCATTCCATCAGAAAGCAGTTTATCCATACAGGACACACTCACCTCGCACAGTGAGGGTAGCAGAGGCTTCCACTTTTCCAACTCTGTTCTCAGCAATGCAAGTGTAGGTTCCCTCGTCCGTGCTCATGGCTTTCTTGATGCGCAGAGTGTAGTCGTCTTTGATGTCATACCTGTGTGACAGGAAAAGGATGAAAACTTATTTTGTGGACAACAGAGAGGAACGAAAACTACCACCTGGATTACGCCACTCTGAATCTATCTTGGAGCCAACTTTGGAAGATAAATTATTATCTGGCATTAGATAATTCCGCCAAGCATTAATCTTCGTGACATTTTTATTGCACTCTGCATTAGTTAGAAACTTTACATAAAATTAGTATTGCTATGTTCACTCAGTATTAGGGCTTTATTAATAATATCATTCACTTTGTCCTTGATCTAGAGCAATAAGATAAAATTAGGCTATCAGACATCAGTTATCAATACATGACAGCTCAGGTTTATCATGCCTTTAAACTGTGTGAGCTACACATTTTACCTTTTGCTGATTTGGAAATTTCCCTTTATGTACAGTTTTTCCCTACTGCAGCAATCCCTTAGGGAACCATGAGCATGTTGGTAGGATCTCGCACTACCCGACTGCAGACAATAAAAAATATATTCAAGCTCTGGAATGTGACATTTATTGAAGAGGCACATTAAAGTAGATTTATCAATTTCACAGAAATACCCCAAAATGATTCATTAAGGGTGGACAATAACATTTTCTCTTTCTTAAAACACATTAGAAACAATTCAATTATGCCTTTTCCATTTCTTTGTTTCTCCTGCTGAAATAATTCTAAAACTATGAGGATGTATAAAATGTGAATTAATACAAAGTATTCCAACATGCAGCGAACATTCATTCTTGAGGCATTTAAAGTGCTTATATCTAGAAAAATATTTTCAGTTAAATTGTTATTATCCTGCAGAAGTCATGCTTAACAAACTATTTTAGGCTCTCATCCAAAGCTCATTAAAGTCAATGAGAGACTTCATCTTTTATGAAATGCATTTGGTGGTCCCCAAATCAGGAAAACACTGAATTCCAGTATGGATATTTTAATCTTGAAATACTCTCTTGTAAAATTATTTTCAACAACATTTCTTCTTCACATAGTAAGCCTACGATGAATTAAGTCATCTTGAACCTGAAGTTGGCTTCAGATTCTCATTTACCAAACAGTGAAATAGGAACATGAAACTAAAGAAAGATCAAGACTTCAGGAGATGCCAGTACTATTTCTCACTGCATTCACAATCATGACATAACTTCGGAAGGACTGATTTACCTTCTCTTTGCTATACAGTAAAGAACTTACAGACTTGTTCATATGGAAGAGCACCCTTAAAAGTTTTGATGAATAAGAATGCAATGCAGTTACTTAGAGGAAGGTTGTCAGGCTCTGTAAGCATTTTTAAATGCTTTGGGAACATGAAACATAATTTTTTTTGTACATAATATAGATTGCTATTTGTTCCTTTAATATAGATTTCTAGAGAGAACACTGAATGCTAACAGACTTTAAAACATCTTAACTCGAAGGGTCCTATATGTTAAAGCATTTAAGGGTTCTGTTAGGTCTAGTTAGATATCAATTACAACATTATTGTCAAGACATCTTTTCATACTCATTAGAATACAACTTCATTCTGTATTCAGTAAGTAATTTCTATTAATTAGTAAGAAATAATTTTAAAAAGACCAAATTGGGGTTAACCATTCTGTCAGAGTTAACATAAACACATACAAAACCCGTTTTCCTAGGAGTTACTCTTAATTGTATGTACCTGCAGTACCTCAGGTTTAAATAACAAATAAGAGATGTGTCAAGGGGAAGAATAAGGAGATGCCATGGCAAACTTCAAAAACTTGTAGGGATATGTCTTTTGTCAGTATAATGCCTTTGGGTGGGTGGGAAGTTATGATGCTAGAAATACTTAACATGCCATTTCTGGAGCACTACAGATCTGTTGCAACTACATTCAACAGCCACATGCAACTGAGGAACATTTCTTCTTGACTGCTCACAAATTATGTCATTTTTGCACGCTGTGCTGCATTAGTCAATGGCAAACAGAAATCACTGTTTACATAAGAGAGAAAATGCAAATTTCCCCCCCTTGAAAATCTCAAGGATGTGACAACAGTATCCCACACTGATGGAGCAGTTACTTGTCCTTGGTGACTGCAGAGTTGCAGACAAGAGATAATGCCTATTTTCTTGACATGAGGCCAGCCCTAGGAGTCTAAAAATATAAATTTATATTCAGCTCCTGTAAGATGAGAAAACTAAGATAAGTTGTAATATAAATATGAATTGGATATAGGAATCAGAGTTATAAAGCTAGGCAACAATTAGTCATTGATTTTTTTATTTTTTTTTAATAGGACAAATAACATCCCTGTGGTTCCCCTTAGCGTTGCCAAGAGAATAACAGAGAGGTAGCAGGACTGCATCTGACTGAGGGGCTGTTTGAACTGGGATGCAGGAGGCCTGGGACAGGGCCTTCCAGTCTGCTGTGGGCTGCAGCTGACTCGCTCCTCTCCCCGTCCCCGATGTGCCGGTGGTGACGGCATGCCAGCCAGCTGCCTTGGAGGCTCGGGCAGCCTTTATGCCTGCACCTGCCAATCATGCAAATTGTGCAAAGGCTGCTGGGGGAAGGAGCCAGCTGCATGGCATGCCAGGACGCAGAGCAAGGGTGCAGCCATCGTCTCCCACGCAGGCCGTGAAATGGAGGGTGGCGTAAACATGTTGCTCTCACGGTACAGTTATCAATTAATTCAAGGACAGGTTCAGCTCTCCCAGTCCGCTTCTCCTACAAGGCCATACTGGGTTTTTGGACCATCCTGACAGAATGTGCCATCCAGCAATTAGATTCATACATAGATGGGCCCATGGGACATTATAACCATCTGCTGTCCTGAAGTATTGATACGCTGCCCCTCAGTCATCTGTTCCACCCGCACTGTCCCCAGAAGTCACCACGGTTCAGTGAAGAGCTCTGACAGATGAAGCAGGTAGGAAGAAAACTGGCTTTTAGACTGATCCACAGCAGCACAAGAAGTTTGTGCGAGAAAGGGACCATGAAGTAACAAGGAGTGAAGACTGAATATGTGTTCAGGACCCACCTGTGCAGCCTTTAACAGCGTGTCCTCCCCTCTCTGTTCCACAACCTCATATTCCCACAGCGAGGCGTTTTCACCTGAGTTTTTGTGGAAGTTCACTCTCACCTGGATTAGTGCTATTGAGCACTTGGGAATCAGGATTAGGGCCTTTCTCTTTGCTACTACCAATCACAGAGAGAGGTTACCAGGCTCCTGGACTGACCACGGAATGGCAGGAAACAAGAGCACCGTGGTTAAATTGTTCCTCAGTGTAGCCAGCGCACTCAGAAGGCAATGCCTTCAAAATATGTGCAGTGTCAAGAAACAACTTGTGACATATTGCCCAAATATTGCTGACTCCCAGCCAATTAATGCTAACATTCAGCTAAAACCATGGGGTGTCAGACATCAGCTTCACATATTTATGGCCATCTAATTGATTTTAAGTACTTCTCTTTGTTAAACATTCAGAGGTGCTTCACCATTCAGTTTAGCTTAGACTTCAGCCATCAGACTGAGCTGGGAAAGGTCTTTTAAACAGCCAGTCAGTCTGTGTCAGATATGAAACAGCCACTTTTGGGCACCACGTTAAATAATTTCTGTTCTACAAGTAATAGAGCAGATCTGCCTTTAATTACCCGAGAAGGAAGGGGTTGGCAGGGGACTGGCAAGGAAGAAAGAAAGAGAGAAACAAGAGGCAGATGAGAAAACGCTGCTGGTGGGGAAATTCTAATAGAAATTGGGTGATTTTGAGTGAAATCTGGCAGTCTCTGGCACATATGAATGCATTCATTGTTGCTAGTTTTGATTAATGACAGTTGTACAATAGTGTGCTGACAGTCACTGCCACACAGACACAATTTTTTTTGATATGAAACACTGCTGAAAATGCAACCCAATCAGATTTGGCCCCTGAACAACATGTGCTATCATCACTGTACCGTGAATTGAGATTGATTGGTAACCAGCTGTGACAAAGTGGGAAAAAGAGCCTTGTCTTTCTCAAGAAAAGAAAAGAAGAAAAATAAAAAACTGAATTGTGTCAAAACCATTACCATCTGCTCAACTAAATAACAAATAAAACAAAACACATTGACTGTTTTTAACTATCACAAATTAATGTACTGAGGTTGAATTAATGTATTGACTTAAGTATCTAAGAATAAACTTGAATTGAACTGGTTTTGTCACAGTTATAATTCTTCCCCCCCCATTCAAAAGTGTATCTGTTCATACTCAGCCACCAATCTTCCATGGTTATCAAATAAAAAAATAAGAGAAAAAAATTTACTGAACTTAAAGAGAGATTTAGCAACACGCTTTTTTAAACACATTTTTCAGTGTTTCAGAGAACCTCTAGTTTCCAGATTTTCAAAAATGTGCAAGCAGCTGTTCATAAAAATATATGCACTTCTTCTGTCTTTAACATGCAGAGGTAGTGAAAATATGTCTCCAGTTGGAGTAATTACATTCCTAAATGTCCAAGTAGGCCTAACTGTTAATACAAGGATGTACTTGCTTTAGCAGTGTGTTTAAAACTTCACAGAATTCATCACTAAATTCAACAACATCCAACTCAAAAGTCTTATTTCTTGCTAAAGGGAGCTTGCAAGAGGAGAAAGTCACATCTTAACTGTTGCAAATAATGCCGCTGGCATTATTTAAAAAAATTAAATCTGTTTATACCAGGCATCTATTTTCTTCTAAAACATTACTGTAAATAAAATAAAATAAAATAAAATATTAGAATCTTTGTATGTATGCATTGTAGGCTTTTATTTTTTCTTTTTTTTTAGAGATGGCACAAAAATGACTTTGCTCTATTTCCTTTTGCCTGTTTGCCAGACTATTTTGCAAAACACGCACAAAGCTTCAAGATTACTCACAACATGGATGATTAGGGAGCCCAAATAGAGAGATGCTACTGGCCAAAACCAGAGTAAACAGGAGGTAGTTAAGGAGGCTTAAGCTTCTGTCTCCACTTCTCTTTTGTGGTGCTGGCACTTCAGCTCCCAGCAC